AAAATAAATTTTCAATTTTCTGCTCAAGAATTCATAGACACTTAATCACTAGTAGCAGGGGCTGTTTTGTAGTTGAGGAATCTTACACAATTTGTAATAGTTCGAAAAATATTTTTATAATAATTAAAAAATTAATTTTTATGAAGGTTTTTTTTTAACTTTAAAAAATGATATGAAAAAAAACTTCATAAAATGCAATATTTGAAATATTTCTCAAATATTTCTCAATAATTTATCTCATTAAAATTGATTTTTCCATAAAGTCATTTAATGCGATTATAATTTTTGAGGCTTTTTAAGTTTGAAGACAAGTTAAATTTTAACTTTGAAGAAGTTTATTAGAGTAATGGAAAAATTTCGTACAATATATTAAGAATATTTTCGAATTTTTTTTTCTTTCAATAATTTAAACTTACAAAATTTCATTTTTGTGTAGTTTGAAATATTAGCCGAAGTTAAAAGAATTAGCCAAAAAACTAATTTGTCAAAATATTTTTAAATCTTTTTTAATTATTTTTTTTAAAAACCTTTGCCAGAAATCAAAGAGAAAACTATTAAGATGAGGATTCTATCACTATATATTTTTAAAAATTCGTTTTTTTTTTTTTTTTTAAATTAGTGAATCTAGAAGAAGAAAATCAATTATTTTACTTTCTCAATACCCATTTTGGAGATTTCTGTCAAGGTGAATATTTTTAGCATGTTTAATAAGACATCATATTTTTAATAGTTAATTCAATATTTAATATATTCAATATTAAATATATTCAATATTTAATTTCATAACAACATTGACCCACTTCAAACTTACTGAAATTTTTCTAATTTTTTTACATTTCAAAATGACCTAAAGTTCTCATATGGAAGAGCTTAAACTTCTCCACTAACATTGGAGATAAGAAAACGCAGAGTGAATAAAGGTCATATCATCAATTTTTATTGGTGTTATTATTTTTTCTTTCTTTTTTTACATTGAATTTAAAACTCAACACTTAAATCTGAGTAAATTACAAAGATAATTCATTCTAGAACTAAAGATCATCGGTTAAAAAGTGATTACCAATACTTTTGTATCTTAGAAATAAACAAATTTACATTTTCATGGCGTATTAGATTGGTGCGTATGAAGTATCGGATTTTTAAGTAACAATAAATAATTGCGTATCCTTTTTTCAAAAGTGATTTATATATTCAAAATGTGCTCAATTTGTCATAATACTCTTTTCCCAGCAAGATTTTAATGCATAAATAAATACCTGTCTAAGGGTAGTCAGTAGGGCATATATCAATAATGCTAAAACTGACCTTTTTCGATGTACCTTTTCTAAGAAACTACTTACGATATCGCTTAAAAATTTTTTGGGGATATTTAAGAGTATATCGATTGTATACTTTGATAATGTTTTAGCTTTAACAGGAATACTTTTTGATATAACTTTTGAAAAAATTAAAAGCTCTCAGTAAATTTTTTTTTTAAATTTCTGCCAAATATATCTATTAACTGTTATCACAGTGTAGAAATGTATATGTAAATATCCTGTGAAAAAAATGAAGAAATATCTTGTTTAGATGCTGAGAAAAGCGATATCGAAAAGGTCTTTTTTAGCATTATTAGTATATGCCCTATCGACTCTTCTTAAAAAAAAACTTGATCTTTTGAATCAATAAACTCTAAAATAGAATTTTTTAGACTGTCTTTATTTTCTAACTATTTTGCTCATAAAAACTGCTCTTAAAAGAAATCTCGACCTTAGAATCAATAAACTCTTATGTAGAAGTTTTTCTGACTGTCTCAATTTTCATAATGTAAAACTGTTCTAATGAATGTTTAAGGAAAAATGAAATTTGGCTGGCAAAAATCCGTTGATTAAACTTATTCATCAAATCTTTTGCCAATCGACATTTAGGATAGTTTTTAGGAGCTAAATACTATGAAAATTAAGTTTGAAAAATTCTATGTCAGAGTTTGTTAAGTCCATTGATAAGGATTTCATTAAGACAAATTAAAATCTCGTTTTGAAAAGTGTATTGAAACAAATGGAGCCTATTTTGATAAAATATCGCAGCTTTTGAAAAAAAGATATGCAGTTTGATAAGTTCACTTAAAATATCACATTTCATAATATATTAAGGAATGAAAAGTAATTGGAAGGTTTCTTGATTGTTGAGCAGCAGCTTAACATTTCTTGAGTTGAATGAAAGCTCTTGTTGGATACATTTTATTACAGTAGAAAAGAATTTTTTTTTGTAAGATGATGAGATCTTTGAGATCTTCTATTATTAAACAACTCATCCTAAGTAAAAAGTTAACTCATTATTTAAAGAAAAAAAGCTATACGTCATACACAAATGCATACAAGTAAAATTATGAAATAAATAATCGTTTTAAACAATTGTTGCAACATATCGGTTTTTGAGGTAAACTATTGTTTTTGGTGCAATTAATTTGAAAGGATCAATTTGTTGTTTATTATCTTTCAAATTTACGCAATTACGTTTACATGCTTCATTCCAAAAGTAATGGATATTTTTTTGCTATGTGCTAAATGTTTTAGCATTTATTATTGATATTTCAGTATAATATTTAATCCAAAACTACGGTATTTGTTTCATAAACCAAATTTCTGATAATGCCATTTTAGTATTGATTTTAAAAATTAATCGCCATCTTAAATTTTTTTAAAATTTTTTTTCAATCAGAATTAAAGTAAGAACTTAAAATGAATTGTAAATTATAAATAAGATTTGAGGAAAGTTTGCTAACATTAAAAAAGTGGGTGTCTTATTTTTACTTCAAAATTAAAAACGATTTCGAAAATAGACCATTTAAAATCGCTTTATATTTTCTCGCTTCATATCTTTCTTTTTTTCATTAAAATTTAAAATACTAATCGAAGTACTTGGTCAATTAATTACTTTAAAGAGTTATGTAGTAAGTGTTGTGAATTACTAAAATAATTTTATAATATATATATAGTATTTTATTGTATATATATGATGTTTTATTGTAAATATGATGTTGTATTATATATAATGTATTATTGTACTTAACTTAAATGCGTCAAATTACAGTTAATATATTAGCTAAATTTTTTACTAGGAATTTTTGAAGTACGCCAATACATAATAAAGCATATTTTATCAATCGAATTCTTAAAACTGTTCAAATTTGTAACAGAAAAGACTAAAAGACTTGCTTAGACGTGTTGGAAAATATTTCACAAACTGAATTCGTGTAAATAGCGTAATTGTAACATAAAAGCTTTGAGTTGTGTATTTAAGGTGCTCTAAAACCTATTTTATCAGAAACTCTTCATAATGGTAACAAAAGATAAGTCATTTTTTTGCCTTGAAAATTATTCCTTTTTGGATAACATTATTGTAATTCGCTTAATCTGTTTTCTTTAGTATGATGTTTGAGATGCGTTGACGCGGGCTTGAGGTTGAGTGAAAACATTTATGGTATGCATACAAAACTTATGGACACATTAACCTAATAATAGCCTTTGGAGTTACGAGCAAGCCCACGCCTGTTAATCAACATAGATCAAATAACAACAACAAAAAAAGGCCGTCCCCGGGATATTTGTGGTATTTTCATCTTTCGCCTCAAGTGAGCCAAACTGCCTACCAAAGCGTCACCACAAGTAATCGAAAGAAAATGTTTTTCCGCGAATAACAGACTTTCTGTTACAAATCGGTCTTCAAATTATTATTATTAGGGGCTTCCGAACGTCGCATGCGGTGCCCGAATTTAGGATCACCTGATCAATTTTAATCAATCACCTTGTCAACTTCTGACGTTTGTCCCCAGTGAAACAAAGTTACATTTTTAATAACAGGGTACCGATTCGAGTACAACAGGGGAAGGAGGAAAGAATAATAATAGTAAAAAAAAACAAGAGAAACGAAGTATAAACTTATCAATGCAGCATACCTGCGCAATGGTGGCCTGATGTTAAATTCAACATTTCAAGTTTCACCCTCCCTGGATATACTACTTGCACAATATTTCCCGGGTCGCCAAGCTTTTTCGAGATGACGACGACGTCGTCAGTAATTAGACCAATTTGGCAGAAGTAAAAAGGCGAATAAAAAATGAGCTAAGCCCTGAACATTTCGTGGGAAAACATAGCATTCTTGGCTTGCCTAATATATCATGTGCGATTCGTTTCTACCTTTACATTCCGAGTAATTCCAATCTCTGCTTAATAATTCCATATGTTATTATTATTACAGTTTTTTCTTCTCTCTCCTTCTAGGTCGGATGGATTGGAAGCACCGCCTGGAGACAAAAACGTGGCGTTGAGGGGGAAAGCAAAGTAACAGGGGGGGAAGTCAACTCAAGTGAGTGAAAACAGCCCCTAGGGACTGAATCAAAGTTGTGCCACTAATTACCGACGTTTGCGCGCCAGCAAAAAAAAATTTTTTTTTTTAATTCTTTATTCCAAACCCTAGAAAGGGGCCTCAGTCCTGCTACAATCCACCAGGTTTGGACTTAAGGAAGAGCACCATTACACCTTGCTTTGAAGAAACATCTGGAAAAAAAAGATATCTCTTTTCGTATTTTCCCCCATCCTTTCCTGATTTCTTCTTTATTTGCCATCAACTTTCCCTAGATATCTCTCTCGTCAGAGTTATTTTATTTTCCTCATTCATTTTTACTTCTGTGCCCTTGGAAAATCCCTAACACAAAACGCCCATTCACATTTCTCACTGATGTATCTTCTTTGCATCTCGTCCATTCGTCCTCCAGTTACTGAGATAATTATTACTCTCTGTGTGTTGCATTGAACTTGACTTCTTTACACTGAAATGGAGACTCTGAAAATTCTTCGTCGGGGAAAGAATTTTTTAGGCATCGACAAAGAGAAGGAAAGCGATTTTAAAAAAAAGTTAAACGGCTTTCAATTCCATGATATTTGAAAATACTTTTAATTTTCTAATAAATTTAACTCAGCAATTTGAGTGGAGAATATTTTTTCATTTTAAAATCTATTTCATAAAATTAAAAGAAAAAAAAAACGCTATTTTTTTTGTAGCAACAAGGATTAATTTTAATAGACTGTAGAAGAATATCACATTTCGTTTTTGTTTAATGACCATTCAGAACTAAATTTATCAATTTTGAGAAACTAATGTGCTTTATTAGAGCTTGTCTGGATATTTTCATTTTGTTGAAACCTTCAGTAATTCTGTTTACATGTGTGAATTGTTAGGTGCTTACTTTGTTGCATACACAGAATCAAAACATATTTTACATAAAACGGACTCCAAACAAGAAAATAGGAAGAAATAAGTAAATAAAAAAACATCGCAAATACTGAATGACTGATAGTTTTTGGAGTTTCAGAATGACTGACACATCAGTGACTTAAAATGACAAATGTATATTTAAAGAAGAACTGCAGTATGGTTACTGAAAGAATTGAAACAATAATTTTATGAAATACAAAAGTGAACATATAGATGTTGAAATGAGAAAGTGGTCGAATTTTTAATTTAGTGTGCAAGTTTTGTCTGAAATGGTGACTATCTCAAGCCCTCCTCCCCAACTATCCACATCATCCATAATGGAGAATACCGGTGATATTGATGAAGGCATGGATGGACTTTTGGAGAAATTAAAACAGAACATGGTAAGTTGAAAATTATTCTAATAGCCTTTTTTTTTAAGATTCATCATAAAAAATAATTTGAAACAAAATTTGTGTGCTTTTAATGCTTACGAAATTTTACAGAAGTGCGCGTAACAACAAACTAATATCCATATCTTTTAATTATATGGTAATTTTATGATTTACAGATATTTATTTTTTGTAAAATGTATAAACTTCTTCGTAATTTTTTCTATATGCAAACAAGTGTGTTTAGTTTTGATAAAATATTTGTCAAAGGGGCAAGAAATAGCTAATTCTAATGTATCAAAAAATATCCTTTCTCTGTTCTGTATTTATATTAAAATTTAAATTAAATTAAAATAAAAAATAAAATTTTCCAAAAATAGTTTGAATGAATAGGTTTTGCGATTTACTCGCGATAGGAACTCGCAATTTACATTTGTAGCATATTTAATCAAAAGGAAGCTGATCCAATTATTTCTAAAATGTTTCATATTAATTGCGTAAAAAAGGAGTTTCAATCATATGCAAATTAATTTGAGTAAGAAGATAGAATTATTTTTGAAGTCAAGTAAAAATTCTTATGGATTTCTCTCACAAATATTCATTTTATTGAAAGAAATGATGCTTAGAGTTTTTGATAAAATTTTATAACACAATAAACACGCACTATTTCTAAAACTTTTGACACGAACGACACTATTTCGCTTTATCGAATTTTGTAAGAATATTTTCTGTTATAATAAAAAAAATTATTGTTTTTTTATCGAAACATTTTTTTTTCTTCATAATTATTGCAAAATGATCGAATGATGATGTCACACCCAAATGAAAGAATTTTATTGACTGAACTTCAAACTCTGCTTATGTGAACCAAATTTGTATCATTGAATCTGAATTTTCTTTGTTTTTCCCCCCTCCCACATTGTGAAATGCTGGGCAAAATTAAATTAAGATAATTTTTTTTAAAAATTGAAAATTATAGATCTAGGATAAAATATTATTGATTATAAAATTAATAAAAAGTAGAGGTATGAATGACTCCAAGAAAAAATTTGTGTCGTATTTCAGCAATTGGTGTAGAAAGATGTACGGTGTTATTTTTGTTTCCTGTAAAAATAAACTAACCAAATGAAGAGAAATAAATGTTTTATTTTTTATCAAAAATATTGGCCATTTTTTATGAAAAATGAGTAATAAATTTCCGAAAAATTTTGCTATATAATGCTGGACCATGTTAATTGGTCAAAAAAAAAAGTTTCCTCTTGAAATTCTTGAAATTCTTTTAGAGTGAGGTGTCTTACTTGAATCGAAGGTTTTTTTCCCTGCGTTGCATTCACTTGTACATAGACTTGTATATCAGAAACGTCAGTTTTTAAGGGACATTTTTCGTCAAAAAATAGGTTAGTTATGGAAATCTTTTTATTTATAATCGATCATAGATATAATAGATAAAATTCTAGGTAATGATAGAATAGAATAGAAACAGCACATTTTTGATTATTTTTCCAAATATTTCTGATTTTATACATTAAAATCAAATGAGTTATTATCCCTTGCCTGCTACTCTAAAATTTACTAGCAAGATAGTATTATCACTGATGTTTTTCACTAGTTTTTTGAAATAAACAAAAAAAGTAAAAGGTATTAAATATAGTTTATCTATTTCTGAACCTTAATAATTTTTGGGAGAATGGCCATCATTATGAGAAAAAAACTTTCATTTTTTCTCGTAAACATTTCTATTTTTGTTTGCATTTATAAACAAATAAAAGCTAATGTTTTTAAGAACATGGGAAAAATTTCCGGTGTTACATTTTCAGATTATTTCTTTATAAAAAGTTAGTGAGGTATATAAAAGGTATAGTACCCATATTTCATAAGAACTACTATCTTCTGGTCTTATTGGGAAATTCTTGTCATAATATTTCATTGTGTAAAACGTCAAACAGGCATGCCCTCTTAGTCTTTACTTGGTGGTCAAACATCGATTTCAAATACAAATTTCTACATACTGGAAAAATAAGTACATTTAAACAATATATTTGTGTACCAAATTTATTTAAAATATTTTATTTATTTAGTTTGAAGCAGTAAAATTAAAATTTCAAGCGAATATAAAATGAATTCAAGATACAGGTAATTCATAATAAATAGTGTATTCAAGATAAAATTAATAATAATTAAACAAAATAAAATAATAACAATCGAATGACTTTTCAACCATTGTTTTTTTTAAATGTAATAAAAACTTAGAACAATATTCTTTGAAAAGAACAATCATTATATTAGATGAAGATAAAATTTTCAGCATTGTTCCTTTGTAAGAATGAGGAGGGAAAATACTGAGATAGTATTCACTAATAATATTCACCAATACTTTATATTATTTTTATGCTGAGTCTGACGATAGTTAAAAAATCTTACTTTGTTTTCAAACTCAAGTCTAGATAAATAAACTACAACAAGCATATTTCAACATGTTTACTCTAACAATAAGTGTAAAATTATTTCATCTAAAAAATAATCAAAACCTGTAATAGTTCATTTATTTGCGACAGGGAAAATATGAAAGAAGTAAAATGTTTACAGCGGAACAATTTTTAATCTTCAAAAATACAGTTCATGTCAGAAATTAAAATCTAATAAAACTTGAAAACTATTATTTGGTTTTGTCATTGCTAACCGTGAATTCTTTCACGAAGAAAAAAAAATTCTGATGAAATTACCTTACTGTATCGTGATGACATTTCCGGTAAAAAAAATGGTAATAAAGAAGTAAATATGTAGTTATTTATACCATTTATTTGGTAATTTTTTCGTTCATATAGTAATCGTTTACCGGAAATTCTGGTTTTCGAAATTATAGTTCTTATTGCAACACATTTAGTAAATGCAAAAGGGAAAAATAAATTTTACCAAATAAATGGTTTATAATGCCGGGCTCTAAGATATCATGATAAAATTACCAAATCAAATAAAAATTACCAAACGATAATCATTATCAAAACGCTTTGGTAAAAATTAGCAAACTTTTTGGTGTTCACATAGAGTTAAAAACAGGGTAAATCTAATCATATTCTGGGAGCATTGATCATACTTTTTTCTCAGTGTTCGATGTTTATTGAGTAACAAATGAAATTTTTTTGTATAATCAAACGAATTCTTCAATTTCCAACTTTCTAATCTCTTTCTGGGTCTTTCTTTTCATTAAGGGATTTTCTACAAAAAGGACAAAAAACTTCTGATCAGTGCCAATGGGGAATTTTGAGTAGACCACTCTTGGTTATCTTTTTAACTGTGAGGGTCTGATTTTCACAACTCTTCTTGTTTTTGAACTTTTTTAAAGTTCTGACGTCTTGGACTTGGAAGTTCAAATGAAATTGTAGTATTCTATTATTATTGCCGAGTAGCGTTTATTCTATTGAGCTAAACTAGGAATCAGGAATCCAAAATACCTGACTTAAATGAGTATGTCATAAAATGTGGAAGGCAGTTTTTCCCCCAGAGCATCTTCAAGTTGGACATATTAGAGGAAAACTTTGTTTATAACCTTGTCTATAATGTGTTCTTTTTCGATGTCTGCACCTTATTTGAAGCTGGTGAGAAACACAAATATCTTTTCTTCTTAAAATATGTATTTGTATTAAGTAAAACAAGCTATTAAATATTGCTTAATAACTCCTTTATTGGTTTGATGGAATAAATAATAATTAAATTAATAATGTTGCAGATGAGAGTAATGTAGTTGCTTTAATCTAACCTCTTTGTCTTTTCAATTTATGTTTAAATGGTCACGCAAAATCTAAATCTCATAACACGAAATAAAATGGGGCCAAAATTACCGGACACTTTTAATATGTAGACAATTATAGACCTGTGAGAAACATCCGAGGTAAATTTTATTAAAATGCCAGGAGAATTTTTTTATTGAAATTACAATTCTCTAATTCAATTCTATATAAAAGAATTCTATATACTTAATATCTTACATTATTTCCTTCATTTTATTTTCTTCGTCTACACAGTGAGATAAAAAATTAAGTTTAAACCATATAGTAAATTTTAACTTTAACCGCAAAACAAAATTTCCACATTTTATATTTAAAATTAATTAATATTTTCTCACAGAATTCACGTTTAAAATAGATTTATTTCATTTTGAAATCTAACTAGATTCTCCCTGCCGTCATACTTAAAACAAGAAAGTCTTACATAGACATAATTATTAGATATTAGTTAACCGCCACGCAAATATTACGAGTACACAATTTTGAACGAAATACATGTTTAATAAATAATTTTTTCTTCGATGTCTCCTGCTCCGTGTTGTCCCAAGTGTATGTACTTATCCTATTATCTCTAGTTGAAGAAAACTTTTTTACCTAAAAATATCGTATTTTATGCAATATAATAAAATATTTTATTGCATTACTGAAAGTTAGAAGATTTCCAAAAGTCTCCATTTGTAATACCACTTTCAATATCTTATTTAAGTTTGTACTAAGTTTATTGAAAAGTATACTCTTTCCAAATCTAACCTTTAAATATTGTTTATAGCACGATATGTAATGTTCAGCCTTTTTAAAAGGATCTGCACAGTGAGAAAGAAAGTATGGTATTTACACGGAATATTTCTCACCTCTTCCAAATAATATTATTACAAGGTTTTTATACGTTTTTAAATTTTGATTTCCCTTTCAAATTAAGAGGCTTAAACTATAAGTGATGTTCCTGTATTATACAAACGTAATCGTATCGTATAAACGTTATACTCAATATTTTGTGATAAATATACCGTTTTACAGTTATTCAAGGCAATAAATAAGTTATATTTATTTTAATAATAAATTTTATGTTAATTTGTATCTAGGATTTAACATTTTGTTCTATTGAGAACTATCTCCTTGGTGAGAAACATTTAATGAGTTTTTATACTAATCCAAATTAAATAAGTTTAGAAAAAAAAACAAGCTTGTGAGTTAAGTTGCAATGGTAGCTGAGCAAAATATTTAAGT